CCTTAGTTTTCTCATCTATAAAAAAAGGGAGTTAGATTAGATGACCTCTAAGATCTCTTCTAATTCTAAATGCTATAATCTTACGACTTTAAGTCCTGGCTTCACCTTTAGCATCCAACTTTTTCCCACCATTCCCTAAGATAGACAAACCCTTTGCTCCTGTCAGACCAGCCTCATGGCTACCTTGGGACACCTTAAGTAGTAAGACATGAATGTCCCATTGGCAGTTAGGTGGCACAGTGGGTAGAGCACCAGCCCTGGAGTCAGGAGGACCTGAGTTCAAATCTGGCCTCAGACACTTAGCACTTACTAGTTGTGTGACCCTGAGCAAGTCACTTAACCCCATTGCCTAGCCAAAAAAAAAAAGACATGAGTGTCCCCCAAACCTTCCATGCTCATTCCTACCCCTGTTCCTTTGCTATTACTTCTCCGTGACTGCAATTACTGTGAAGAAATAGCTCCCAAATGGGGATGAAATAGTACAGAAAGTGTTAACAAATGTTTGTGGAATTGAATTGAAATTGGAGAAAACACTGTATAGACTCAAGAAGTTAATAATCCCTTTGAGGAGACATTTCCCAAGCTTGTTCTCTATAAGAATACCCTGAGAGCTACAATCTTGGGCTGGGGACAGGATTTGGGGGAATGGATAGCATCACCCAGCAGCCATTGACACTCAGTCCTGATTCATCTGAGATTTTCAGAATTTCTTTAGGATTGTAGGTCTTGTATGAAAATATTATTTATTACCAACCCTGACCTAAGCATCAGTGCACAGGTGTGTATGTAGGTTCCTAGGTGTACCTAGGAACACACTAATCTCTCAAAAATGAATATTTTATTTCTCATTTTTAAAGTTTGTATTTTTAAGGTAAAGTTTAGTTATTTTTAAAAATTGAGTTTAGTTAAGTTCCATTTTTCTTTGAGCAATGAAAATAATGGACTTTATGATCGCATTTCTATAAATCTTCACTTTCTTAAAATAACAAAATTCCCTAAATGTACACCCTAATGAAATGTTCCATGTATATCTATACACTGGAGGGCAGTTAGTCAACAAGCATTTATTAAACACCTACCATGTGCAAGGCACTGCGTTAATCACTGAGCATATTGAGAAAGGCAAAAACAAAAACAACAAAATAGAGCCTTTTAAGAATAATAGAAACAACATAAGTGGAAAAAACAACAACAAATTTGAATATTGTACAATTAAAATGTCCAAAGTTGGCCCCAAAGAACAGATGAGAAAATGTACTTCGCTTGCTTCATTAGAGAGGTAGGGAACTGTGGATGTGGAACTCTGCATATGCTGTTATAGTTGGTTAATGTGTTGCTTAGATGTTTTTTTTTTCCTTTCTTTTTTATTCTTGATTACAAGGAATGGTCATAGGGTAAGAGATGAGGGAGGACATATTCAAAAATTCATGTGATGTAAAAACAAAAGATAGTATTAATAATCTAATAAAAAAAAAAAAGCAAGATGAAAAGGACTAGATGAAATACTACGTCATGTGAAGAAATGTCCTCAAATTAATCCTATATTTCTCAATGAAAGCTCTACTTCAGTGCCTCAGTTGTGGCCTGAGGTGGCCCTAGGCTTTTTAATGCTATGCTAATGAAGTGCAAAATCTGGTGGGTCCTAACAAGCCAGGAACACATCAAGTCTGGCATACAGTTGGTACTTAATAAATGCTCATTGATTCAAGTCTTGGAACTGTGCTGGACTAGGTGTTTATTATCTGAGAACCTAGCTAATTAAATTTGGACAGACTTTTCATCAGAAAATTGACCATCACATAATGAATCTTTTTGGCCACTCTAACACATAGAGACACCTCCTAAGACACAAAGGAGTTGCAATCTGCATTGGCAAAGGGAGTGCCTAAATGAATGAAATCATGGGTCCTTGAAGTATTGGAGGAATCCTATATTATTCTTACTTTATCCTTATACCTCAAAGCATAGTTTTTGTAATAAGTCTTAACTTTTCTTACTTTTCCCCATTTCCCCCACTCCTACCCCCACCACCTTCGAATGCCACTGGCTGCCCTTCCCTATACCAATTAGTCACAATGGTACAATGAGCTATTATTTATCTCAATCCTTTTTTCCCCAAAGGCCATCTATCAGAGCAAGCAATTACTCCTAGACATCCCTAACCATAATTCCAACTCATCTATGCTTTTCTTTAATTTCTGTTCCTTGCGCTCCTCAATCTTTTTCTAATCGTCATCAGAAGGTGCCCTAGCTGACTTTTTTCTTTCATTCAGCCTAGCCAGCCTCTTGATATCTGCAGAGAGAGAACAGTCACAGCCTCACCATACTGGCTGTTGTAGGAAGAGGCCAAAGAACAGGAGGCCAGAAAACTGTTATTTACCTCACTCTTCTTTCTCAAAGGCTGCCTATCAAAGCAAGAGATTACCCCCGGCCTTTGTTAACCCTAACCCCAACTCATCTATACGCATTTGTATCAGAGCTCACATTTTTTTTTACCTCCTCCACTAAAATGGAAGCTCTTTGAAGTCAAGGTGAACCTCAAGATGTATATACAAGGGACTCTAATAGTGTGATCAAGGACAGGTCATTTCACTTTCTGAGCCTCAGTTTCATCACATCAAAAAATCATTGGTGAAAGAGATCAGCCAGTCCAATTCTCAGATTTTATGGATTAGAGATTTAGAGCTAGAAGGGACCAAAAAACCCACTAGGTCCAATCTTCTAATTTTACAGATGAAGAAACTGAGATCCAGAGACGTTAAGTGCTTGCCTACGATCACAAAAATAGTAAGTGGCAGAACTAAGGGTAGAACCTGAATCCTCTGATTCCAAAGCCAGGACTCTTTCCAACTGAGTAAGTAAAATGAAAGGGTTTGACTAGATGATCTCTGAGTTCTTTCCAGCTTAACAGTTCATGATTCTATGATTCTAGCAACATGATGAAATATCAGGGCCCACACCAACACAAAATATCTCTCTTCCCCCATCTGCCCCTTTTCCAGAGAGCATGTTCTTTACCTTTGAGGCTATTAACTCCCTTAATATCTAACCCTCCTCCATTTCCACCCCTGACTTCCACCCTATGGGGATGAGGCCACAACATTCTTGTAACAACCTTTTCTCCAACTTTGGACAGTGGAAAAGCCATTGGCTTGCCCACACACCCCTCAAGCTGAAGGCTTTAGAGCTGTGAGGTCAGACCGAACATATGCTTCAGAAATAATTGGTCAGATTTCAGGACTGGCTATCCTCTGAGGGCCTTTAGGGACTAACAGGAATGAGTGAATAGTTTTAGAAGCAGGAATCAACTGTCCTGCCTAGGAGAAGCATAGTGAGTTTCCCAGATAGTCTGCAATAAGTGGTAGACCTCTCAGGATTTCTGGTAGAAATCAAATTGTTAATTCATGCTCATTCTCTGGGGAGTCTCCTTAGACTGGGCCAAGGTGGTCTTTGTGGAGGGGGTATGTTTCCTAAGATGTAGCTCCAGCTCTCTAAGTAACTTCTCCCCAGCAAATGCCATTACTGGAACATTCCCAGTATAGTCAAGAGTCTTCCCAGGATCACACAGTCATTATTCTCTGTCTCTTCCTGCTTCACTCCTGCTCTAACTTCCAACCTTGGAAGTCATTTACCTGCCTCTTTTGTTACTTGCTCCTAGCCAGCTGATCTGGACCATGTCACATGGGACATGTTTCAGTAATGAGGGCTGCTAGGGAAATATTTCCCAGGGTCTCTGAGGTTGCACCAGCAGTAGACATGTCTCCTACATCTATTGTGACCCAACTATCAGGATAAACTACAGGCTAGATTAACCCATTTCTCACTGGGAATAGATACCCTATTGGATAAAGTAGAGACATTCATCCAGGAACTCAAGGGAACTTTTGAAACAACTTCATGCTGGGAAATTTCTGGTCATTATTTTCACTGGCTTGTTGGTGGTGGTAGTTTCAGTCATATCCAACTCTTTTGTAGCTTTAGAATTAATGGTAAGAATTATATTAGCAATTTGTCTTTGTATCCCCAATACCTACCCCAGTGACCTGCATGTGGGTGGAGCTCATTAAAGGCTTCTTGAATCACATTGTATTATATTCTATTTACATTTTTATAATTAGAAAAGATGTTTTCCATGTGCTTATTATAATGAAGATACATGCTTATTCCATGTTCTGGTGCTTATTCAATTTCTCTTCCTTTCTCTTGAACAGAATTTATTATTTATTCACTAGAGTTTTAACCTGCCAATCATCCCATCAGGCTTTTTTTTAAAAACAGATTTTATATAGAAACTTGGGGAGTCCTCTTAATATTTCTGATGCAGAAAACTGGACAGTGATTGTCCTAGAATTTCTTTACAAAGCATAATTTAGAGGAAGCATTAATAGTACTCAGTGACACAGTAGATTTGTATGTAGGTGAGCAGAAATAAGTTGAGCAACTTCTCCACAGTCACAGCAAATATATCTCAAGACCAAGATTCAAATCCAGGTTTCTTGACTCCCAAGTCGAAGGTCTTTCCACTATAACTCCTGTGCCTGTGATCTCATTAACGTTAGGTTCTACTCTAGAGAGCTAACCAACCACAGACAGCAGGAGAAGTTTTACAGTTGGAGATTTAAATTAATAAATTAGAGAGGAGAAAGATATAGTTTAATTTCCATTGCACTCTATAGCTCCTAGAATCATGTTGAGCACGAAGTATACGTGAGTCTGTGTCATGCTTATTGAGCTGAACTGAACATTATTTTAACTCTAATTCCCTTTTCCTTTTTGCTCATCTATTGTTACTGATATAGATTCAATCTCCCAAAGTCTATGGCAGAAGAGTTAAAAACAAACAGATCTAAGGAAAGAGAGACTAGGGGAGAACCAATGAAAGGCTTTGCCAGGTAGCTAATGGCCTGGGAGACAATGAAAACCCTGAGGTTTGGAAAACTCTTTCCTTAGGGAAAGCCTTAGAAATATCATTAGGGTAGAGACTGACATGGCAGGTTTACCTTTTCCACAAAGTACATAATGCCCTCGTGACCACGCTGACCAGGTGGCTTCCAGCTAAGTACAACATAGCTTCTGGTGGCTTCTGTCACAGAGAGGTCAGTAGGCGGCCCGGGAACAACACCCTCTGAAGAACAAAAACAAAACTGACATGAATAGAAGGGCTCCACATCCTGGATGATACCAGTGTTCCCAAGAGGTCACATGATACTTCCAAAGAACAATGCATTTGTCCCCACAGAATGCACTTTAGCTTCAGAATCCTTTAAGAGTCATTTATTTAGTAAACACATATTTATTGAGCACTCATCTTGGTTATATCTATATACTGTGGAAGATGCAAAAAAAAGTATGTGAAATAGGATCCGCGCCTTAGGCAGCTTACAGGAGCTCCCCAACAGGAGAGGCAATCCATTTCTTTCTTGTTTATAAGAATGCTTGGGCATTTTGTAACCCTGATTCATAAGAACAGTATCAGCTATATAGAGAATATGATTTTGATTTTCAGAGACTATAAGCTCCTTGAGGGCAGGGATAGGGCTTCCTCTTGTCTTTGTATCCCTAGACTCAGTGCCTATCACATAATGGATATATAGCAAATGCTCCTTGATTCACAAATGTATTAGATTAGATTTTTTATACAGAGCTAGAATTTTCCCGTGAAAATGCATCTCTCTAAACCCAGTCTGACTAGAGAGATGATAGTCACATATGCACATGACAAATTTAAGAGAAGGCAATATATAATAGGTGGCAGATGAGTCAGGTAGATAACACATTGGATAGAATGAAGGACCTAGAGTCAGGCAGATATGAGTTTAAATCTGGCCTCAGATATTTGCTAGCTATGTAACCTTGGGAAAGTCACTTCACTGCTATCTGCTTCAGTGTCCTTATCTATAAAATGGGGATCATAATAGCACTACCTTCCAGGATTGTTGTAAGGATAGATATTATCTATAAAGCATTTTTCCAGCCTTAAATGCTATAGAAACGCTAGCTATTATTAAATGAGTAGAGCAGAAAATAAGCACCATATAAGTTTGGAGGAATGGAAAAATCACTGTGGACTGGAGGATTCAGGGAAGGATTAGAGCATTACAGATTTAAAGCTAGAAAGGACCCTAGAGGCCATTGAATACAAATGCCTCATTTTATAGATAAAGAACTGAAGCAACTTACCAGTCACACATGCAGTAAATTGCAGAGCTGGGATCTGAACCTGGGCCTTTTGACTCCAGTGTTCTTTCTGCTTCATAAAGAAAACTGAACTCATCCTATGCACCAGAGAACTATTCCTTTGCAGACTGGCCATGTCTTTAATTATTTCCTGCCCTTGCAAGAAGTTTATCATTAATCAACTGTTTTGTTGTTCAGTCTTTTCAGTAATACTCAACTCTTTGTAACCCCATTTGGGGTTTTCTTGGCAAAGATACTGGAGTGCTTTGCTATTTCCTTCTCCAGCTCATTTTATCAGATAAGGAAACTGAGGCAAACAGAGCTAAGTGACTTGTCCAGGTTCATACAGCTAGTAAGTGTCTGAAGCCATATCTGAGTCAAGGAGATGAATCTTCCTGACTCCAGGCCTGGCACTCAATCCACTGTACCACCTAGCTGCCCTAATTAATCAATTAATAAATATGTATTAAGCTCTTATGATGGGCCAGGCACAATGCTAAGGATACATAGATACTCTCAAGGACCATACATTCAAATGGGGAGTGGGGAAGAGAAAACACACACACACACACACACACACACACACACACACACACACACACACATGCTCAAGCATGCCCATAGTATATGCAGAATAAGGATGAAGGAGCTTGGGAAGCATCTGGGAACAGGAGAAGAAGCTTTCTGGCTCTGGCCCAAAATTTTCTCTGTATAAAGGTCTCCTTGTTGCTCCTGTCCCATGTGGGTTCTCCTAACTGCCTTGCTTTCCTTTCTCTTCAGCTTACTATGAATTTCCTGGTTCCTGATGATCATCTCCAGTCTTTGACCCACTTTCCTCTGAAGAATCTCTTTGTATTTCTAGTTTCCTCATTGGATGACTCTTTGCACTATTGCTGTGTTGAGAACACAGTCCATTGTGCCCTTTGACTCTTGCTCACCTATTGCATATGGGCTGGACTACTCACCTGGCTTCCCAGCTTTGCCAGTTTCTAAGTACTTTCTCAGGCCTGGGGTGCTCCCATTCCTGATTCCTACAAATATTTCCCACTTCTGCTCTGTTTCTACCAGCCCTTTCTTCCACCTTGAGCCTTCTAAGTGCACTACCACCCATATTCCCTGCACTGCCATTGGGTTTCAGAGAAAAGGTAGGATTCAAATAAGTGGGGAGGAAGGAGAAGGAATTCCAGGGATAAGAATAGGATGATCAAAAACCAAAGAGTTGGGAATTAGCAAGACATATTTAGAGGACAGTGTGATGGAATGATTGTCCCAATGCCTAGGAAGTCATTCAGATAGAACAGTCATCATTTTTCTGAGCACGGAATGGATCTATCTATCTTCTATCTATCTGTCTGTCTGTCTAATAACAGTAACAGCTAACATTTATGTATGCAAAGTGCTTTATATATATATTATCTCCTTTGATTCTCACAACAATCCTGTGAGATAAGTGCTATTATTATGCCCATCTTGGAGTTAAAGAAACTGAGGCTGAGAATTTGATTGACTTGTCCAAAGTCATACAACTAATAATCTGTATGTCGGTAGCTATATCCATATCTATTTATCTATCTACAGTTATATATAATACTGATGAGGCAGCCCTCCTTAGGATAAGTTATTGTGACATTTTAACATTTGAAAAGAATAATAGGGGCAGCTAGGTGGCACAGTGTATAGAGCTCTGGCCTTGGAGTTAGGAGGACCTGAGCTTAAATCCAGCCGCAGACACACAATACTTACCAGCTGTGTGACTCTAGGCAAGTCACTTAACCCCAATTGCCTCACAAAAAATAAAAAAAAAAGAAAAGAATAATATTCATGAACTAAAAGTTTCCAATTGCCTGGAATAACTTCACTTATAGAAGTTACAATGCTTGTTCCACCGTTGATGCTTGATAAATGTTTGCTTGCTTGATTGATTAGGGATGTGCATTTCCCGTTTCTACGTATCAGGTACCCTTCCATTAATTGATGGCACTCTAAATACCTTGAGAACATACTTATACAAAGATACATCAAATTCTTACTCTATTGAATTATGCAAAGAACCTGAAAAACTTAACATTGCCTCTCTTGATGACAAGCATTAGTTTGCCTGTCAATATAAGGAAGAGACAGGCACTGGGGAGAATTTAGCTCAGTAACAATGTCCTTCTGAAGACTACTGGCAAATGCCATTTATATGGTCATTCAGTAATTTTCATTTACCAATACTTGCATGACAGATACATAGATGGACAGTTACTTTATTAAGATCAATCTAAAAGGGATACATCAGGTTAAGAATGCACACAGGAAAAATAATTTGGTTCCCAGTTCAATATGCTGGCCTGGGGTTTCCATTATTTGATCTTAAATAGTGATAGTGAATGAATTATTTGTCTATGACTCTATGGTGACCCACGAAACAGAAAAATTTAAAATTGCCCTCAGTGCTATATACCCTTCTTCTGTTTCTGCTGTAACAGTGGCAATATTGCATAAAAAAGAACAGGGAGTATAAAAAGAAACCTATTTCTTAGACCATTTGCAAAAAAATAATTTAACTTCTGATGCTCTATATGTAGGATCCTTATCCAATGACCAACAAGCACATGTGCTCTTAGAGGAATTAAATCATCTCAATATTGAAACTCTCTCTTGAAAAGAAACCAACTAAAAGAAACATGCAAAGTCAAAGCCATTGCCAAGAGATAAATGGTCAAAGAATATTAGCCAACAATTCAAATATTAGCCAATTCAAAAGAATTATGAAACTATAAACAACCATAAGAAAGAATGCTCCAGATCACTAATAATAAAAGAAATGCAAATCAAAACAATTCTGAAATTTCACCTCACCCCCAGAAAATTGGCAAAGGTGACAAAAGATGGGAATAGTTCATGTTGAAGAGATTGTGGAAAGATAGACACACTCATGCATTGTTGGTGGAGCTGTGAATTAATGCAACCATTCTGAAAAGAAATCTGGAACTATGCAAATAAAGTGCCCAGAAGGTCTACACCCTTTGACCCAGAGATTCTACCATTAGGTAAATTACCTTCCAAGTAAGTAATTTATAAAAGAAAGGCCTCCTAAACACAAAATATTTGTAGGAGCACTTTTTTTGAGGTAGCAAAGAAGTAGAAACAAAGTAGATGCCCATCAATTGGGGAATGATTAAGCAAATTGTGGTAAATGAATTGTAATGGCCTGTTGCTATGCAGTAAGAAGTTATAAATATGACTAATACATAGAAGCATGGAAAGATCTACCTGAACTGATGCAGAATGAGGTAAGTAGAGCCTGAAAACAATACATGCAATGTAAGTGGAAAGAATAGCTACAAAACAATAAAAAATAAATGGTGCAAAATTTCAAAGAGCAAGTTTAAATTAACCCAAAGAAAAGATATAAGAAGACCTTTCCTCCTATTCCTTTGCAAAGGTGGCAGGATAGGGGTGAGGGTCTCTACAAGTATGGAACATTGCAAATATTGTTAGATTATTTCAATGGATTATTCAGTTTTGCTCATTCCCCCCCTTCATCTTTTTCTTTTAAAAAATTATGTGCTTTATAGGATGACTCTTTGGGAGGGATAAAAAAGAAGAATACAAGGGGAAATTTGTGGAGCATAAAAACAAAAGATATCAATAAAGTTTATTTTGAAGAAAAAAAAATCAAAAGAGATACAAAAGTCACAACCATGTGGGATATGGCCTATAGGCCAAATAAAGAAGGTGGCGGAATTGGTTTCATCATGCATCCCAGGATAGGTGTTATAATGGCACAGTAGCAATCTCCCCAGTAATGGTATAGAACTTTGCTCATAGGTCACTGGCATGAGAATGAAAGAATTAAAGCAGCATAGACAGTGGTTGGAAGGGGGTCACTTGCAACATGCTAGACAAAAGTTTCACATTAAATTCAAGATGCAGGAATTTTTGGAGAAGGGGTGGGATAAA